AGGAAAAGCTCATCTCTGCTTGTTGTAGAAAAGAAACAGTGCTTCAAAGAAATAACGTTGGGATGATCCATCAAGCGCATTAACTGCAGCTCACGATTTTTATAGCGCCTATCCTGTAAAACCTTCTTTATGGCAACAGACTCTCCAGTTTCCAAGCATTTTGCCTAGCAAAGAGCAATGGCAAACCATTAGTTCTATAAACAAAGGTAAAACTAAAATTACAGACATTGTTATGATGCCAGGAATAAACACCTGAAAAACTATTCCAAATGATCCTGTACCAACAACACGCTCTGCCATGTAACTAATTGTCTGCAGAAAAGCATCACAAGCAAACCTATTAGCTCTCATTAAGAAGATAATTTATGTATGTCAACTCTTTGCTTAAATATCATGAATTAAACATTATAGAGCACTCTAAATAGCTCCTAGGATTATATTGGAACCGAGAACTCCAAATAGCTGGTCCTGTATAACCATCTCAATGCTTTACAACTTTTGTAACATTCAGTTGGCAGGGTCAATGAAACTGAACAGATGAAGTTTGGATACCAACCCTTTTGGGCTCGCCATTTTTGCCTCCAACAGTGGTGGAGATAATGTGACCAGCAGCTGGATCATTCCCATCAACTACAGAAGCCGACACCTCCTGCAATGTGAACCAAGCAAAGGCGTCAATGCATAAACAAAAATTAATTGAAACACAACACAACACAACTGGCCAACTAAAACCAAAATCACATAAGTACTGATAAATTAATCAGAACATTTGTCAACTAACAAATAGCAAAACATAGTTGGAAATGTGAAATTCGGAAACCTGAAAAGCATGAGAATTTAAAGAGATATCCTATGCTTCAAACCCAAAAAAAAGGAGAAAAAAACAGATAGAGCAATGTTTGACACGAACTATGGCTGCAAGAAATTATCTCAACCAACAAACTTGAAAATGAAAGAAGTGGTCTACTATAATTTTAAGCACAGTTCACCAACATTAAATGAAAAGCAGCTTTAAATTCACCTTTAGTAACAAATTTAAAGAACTAACAACAGTACTCAAAAATCAATTTACGAAATAATCCTAATAAAACTTAAAAGAGTGAAAAAAAAAGTTAAAAAATCTAATAATAGATGCAATTTGACGTAGTCTATAAAAAAGTGTCCCATTTATATATAATCGGAAGCAACAAAATTAAATTAAAAAATCTGAAAGAAAAGAAAAACAATAAGTCTTGAAAAAAGACTAAATAACTAGGATAATTTCTGAAAGTTTTCATAAAATTGATGCACTAACAGAAAATTCCAAAAAAAAAAAAAAGAATCAAGGGGAAAAAAGAAAAAGAAAATTAACTATCACACGGGTTCATCCTTGCTCTCTCACTCCCTCTAAGATCCAGGCGAAAAAAATCTTAAAGAAGTACCTAAGAAACGGGAATATTTTCAGATCGACGGAATATTCTCCGAATATACTTCTGGCACCCACCGCGAAGTAACAAACCAAAAACTCAAGCTTTTCAGCTAGATCGAAGTAATAAATGAGGAACCCAGCTAGAATTTCGTCAAAAAAGTAAAAAAAAAAAAAACACAGAATGCAGACGAGACAAAACGAGAAAATCGATTTTACAATCATGCATAAAATGTACAGTACCTTGTCTGTTTCCATGGATGCTGTAGTGGAAAGCTTCGCGTCGTTTGGTGGTGGCATAGCTTGGTCAAGAACATTATGGTATTGATTATTGGGTGGTGGATTGTGCTGATGCAGCTGAGGTCCCGGTGGCACCATAGTCACGTGGCTTTGCTCTCTCGCTTTTTCTGCCCTTTGTATTCACATAATTTTATAATTTTCATTTTCTTTTAAGATAATATATTTTTTTATTTGTCCCTAATACACTTTCAAATAATTAGAAAATTAGGGCTCGTTTTCTCGACCTTTCATAGTTTCGATTTCGAAGGTAAGATTCTTCGATAATGAAATCATTATGGTATACATTAGAATCATACATGACTTTAACATTATTCAAAGGCGGAACTTTACGTAATTTTCACGATATATTATATCTTTAAAGTTTCGTGGAAGTCACGATTTTAATCACAAATTGCAATTAGCATCCCTAAGATTTGTCTTATTTTCACTTTATCTCTATTCTTTATTTTTAACAAAGACCCAAGTGCAAAAGTTCCCGTTCAGTCAAGAGATTGTTGTAATACTTGTTGTCAAACCAGTTAGTAGTCTTACACATCGAGCGTTGTCAAGTTGATGATGTTGCCAAAGGCACGGCATGTGCCTCATCAGTTGGCTGCAAAGGTTGGGTTGATGTTGGTTTCATTGTAAATGCAGGATCAGAAGGTGGAGCATTTCGCAAAGACGAAGGTGTGGCCACCCTGTGAGGCCATGATGTCGCGTGGGTTTAGACTTTTGATCGAGATCGAGATGAGAGTTGAGAGGCTCAAGATTGGGGCTGGGATTTGGCTAATTTGCTGCACTCATGCTGGCTGCTCGTGCATCCCTCCTGCCGTGGCACTGTCCATGTTGGTCTCCAACGTAACCGTCAACGAAAACGTTAAAATCACACGCAACTATGTATGATATATAAAACCTTCCAACCATGATTTTCCACTTTAATTTATCACACATTGATTTTTCAACTTTTTGATTGTGTGGCAAGTCAAACACAATATTAGCTACTAGTATTCAAATGTACCTACTAGCAAGGCATTTGGCATTTGCCTTGGTAGAGAAAACCCCAAAACGGCATAACCAAATAATCGTTTAGCCAATGAAGATAACATTGTCTATATATCCGAAAACGCGGTAATATTCCAATATATTACAGTAACATTCTTCACTAGAAAGCCTATTAGAAGGATCTAAGTTCTCGTTATTGTTCTCGTTACAATAAGTTAGCTTAATAAGCATACATGGATAATATGTAAGATTAGGTCCCGTCCAATTCTTCACCCGAATAGCCTTGTTAAAGTCCTAAGCTTTAGGAGACTGCATAGCGTGGAAACTTGGGCTGGTACCTGGCTTTGAAGGCAGTTTGTGATGTTTCACCAAAGGGACCAGCGACTGCACCACGTCCGCCATTAGTGGCCGGTAATCAGCCTCCGGCTGTACGCACATAGCAGCAATTGCAGCAACTTGTATAACCTCCTTCATCGAGTACTGACCCTCGAGGGCCGGGTCCATGATATCTATAACCTTTTCTCTATCCGTGAGTTGGGGTAAGGCCTACCAGCATAAATATGGAAGAGAAATTTCATTGGAACGTGTAGAAATACACCGGCGCACACAAAACTTGTAGTGAAATAATATTGATGTGGAAAAAGGGCAAGAATTTAACAATAAACGTACCCAAGAAACGAGAACACCTTCCCCTTGAGGTCTCTTCATATCCACAGGAACCCTGCCAGTCAGCAATTCCAGGAGGACGACTCCATAACTGTACACGTCTGATTTCATTGTCAGATGCCCAGTTAATGCATACCTGAAGAAATGTAGAATTCAACTTGTGTAGCGTAAAGAATTTATCATGTAAAAATAATGGAGTAATTCCGACAGAACTGCCAAAATGAAAAATGTCAGCTTACTCGGGTGCGACATATCCTTGGGTGCCCAATACTCTAGTTGAAACATGGCCACCAGCTTTCTCAGAGCCAAGTTTTGCTAACCCAAAGTCGGAAATTTTGGCATGGAAGTTTCTATCCAAAAGGATGTTACTGCTTTTAAAATCTCTGTGAATTACTGGAGGACTAACATGTTCATGGAGATACTCCAATCCTTTTGCTGCCTCCAAGGCTATTCTCAGCCGAGTGCCCCAATCCAACTTCGATGGAATGTTATTAGAAGCTGAGTTTTAAAAAAATGCCATTTATAGTACCTTAATGAGAATAGATCTGATTATAGAGAGTTCAAAAGGAAGAACTAATCTAAATAATATAAAGAAAAAGACGAGCAGAAAGAAAAAGTCTCGATGAGCAAAAATACAAGAAGTCATCATACGCATCAGAAGGACTAGTTAGATCATTCGAATAAGTTAATTCAATATTTTAATTTAGCTAAACAGAAAGAGCGTGCACGTGGTTTAACTACTTAAATGCTATGATGCTCGGACTCAGGTACGAGTATCGGGTACTGATACGTATCTAAGTGTCTGATCTTTTATTTTCTAAAATGTAAGATACGAGGACATAGTTAAAAAGAGTCCAAATTTCAGATATAGATATGTGGGTATGACTTTCAAATTTCAAAATTTTTACTAATTCAGGATCTCATTTTAAATAGACTAAAATTAATCATTCACAATGAAGGAAATGGTTATTTAATAAGGAGTTAAGACGAATAAAATAGAATTTTGAGATTTAGTTTTCAATTAAAAGAATTACTAAATGTTATATAAAATAGAAAATGAGGAACTTAATTGTAATTTGGACTTAGTGGAACACTAAGTAATACTATATGGAACTCATTTTCATTTTATACAAATAAAACCCTAAACCACCGATAGAGAGAGAGAAAGATGGAAAAAAAAAAAAGAAAATTGAAAGAAAAAGAAAGAAGAAAAAGATGGTAAAACCTAGCGCCGCTGCCTTTCTCCACCCTCTAGGCGACGACGCTAGGCTTATAGAGAGCAAAAGTGGGAAAGAAGAAAAAAAGAAGAAGAAGAAGAAGCAAAAACTACGAAGTGTCCGGTTGAAATTTGAAGAATCCGACACATCCTATACTCATACCCGGGTACTCCAACTATTTCGAAGGGTTCGAGCATCAGAGGTTAAATGAATGACAATAGATTTTGCATAAATGGTCAAAAATAAGCAAATCGTGCATCAGATACAGGGATCATTCCCAAGTGCAGACAAAAATAATTGAATGAGACTTAGAAGCAAGAGCAAGTCGATGACATCCCAATGGAGAAATTCAAGAGGAGAAAACAAATAGAAAGCTCAATGGAAGAGGGGATAAAAGACCTACATTAATGATAAATGCCAAATTTAGATTTTTATATTTGCAACACATAATTCGAATTGATCAAATATAATATACTCTACTAAGATTGTAAGTGTC